CGGTGTTAAACCAAAGATAAAAAAAAGACCATATTGCCTCTCAATATGACTGGATGTATATATACTGTGTAGTATGACCAACTGCATGCATGTTTCAATCACGGTACATATACATCCAGTCATACCGAGGGGCAATATATATTTTTTTAACCTTCGGGTTTAACACCATTAAACATCCAAAGTTACGACAGTGTCATTTGGGCGCTAAAGATACAAGTAGTATGAGATAGGGGATTTCTAACTTTGGAAGGCCAAGAAAGCAGTGCTTCATCTTTATAGGGAATTCTTTCTATAAATATACTCTCATAATAAATTTATTTGGAGACATAAATATTTTTCTATAAAATAGGTTAAACTTGAGTATATGTGACTAATCTTATTCCACTCAAAAAAAAAATGTTCTATTCTTGACAGAGGGATACCTTCCACTCCTAAAAAGCATAAACCGGTACAGCAAATCATGTGTGCAGTGGGTATCTGGAGTTACGAAGTAGGCGGTGTGATTTCTGGAGGTCTAATTTGTGCACAAATCTCGCGGGAAGCGTCACACAGGCCGCCGTTCCGCCGGAATTTCAGATCCAGAAATGAGCAAATAGATAAATCTGCACTGTAATTTATGGGTGGTATGGGTTCAGTGTGCAGCAACATCCCACTAGACATCTTTTCTTTTCTTTTTTTTTTGAGAAACACTAGACATCTCTTTTCTGGAGAAACCGGCCTGATGCTAGCAAGAATTTAGCCCAGCCCAGGATTTACACGACTCTGACCAATGGAAATCGGAAGGAGGCAGCAATGAGGCGCCGTCACGGCACATCCTGTCGAGAACCATCAAAACAGCGTTCAAGGAGAACCATCAAAATGTTTGTTGTTTCTTGTTTAGAAATATACAAATAAATTATGTTTGGTGAGATTTGAATTATGAGCATAAAATTAACATATGAGGATGATGTGAAAATAAGTTATCAAAATATCATGAACCAGTTTGGTTCCTTATGATTGAAATTCTGCTCGCTGGATACTCGTATTTTTCTCTGGGTTTATTGTATAAATGTATAGTGCTATTTTTCAATCACAAACGATGCGTCTGTCAACATCGAAATGTCTTTTACGACTATGTCAACTCAAGATACATACTCATAGGGGGTGGATATATATAGGATCAAGGATTCTAGCTAGAGGAGAGTAAATATGTGGTTTTAACTAAAATCATGAACACCGGAGTTCTAAAAAAAGTCATAAACATCGGGTGAATTTAATTCGTACAACAAAAGGGCCCTAATATACTACTCTTTCTAAGCTAAATGAAGGTTCGCAACCTAGGTGATCAGCAATAGAACAAGTCTAACAAAGTAAAGTACTTAAAACAACTTGCATGAAAGTAAATCTAGCACAAGAGATAACCGAACGAGGGACACAATGTTTATCCCATGGTAGCAATGACTTGCCGGTCACTCCATGTTGAGGTGGATTCAATGTTCAACCGCTCTTTATCAAGTCTTCGCTTGATCTTGAGCCGGCTAGAACCAAAGAGTCGCTCCACAAATCGATTGCACTGGAGTTGCTCTTCACTGCTCCGGTAAGGTGAGCACAAGAAGCTCCCACAATCACTTTCGGAGCACCTTCACAATCTTCTTTGAAGTGCTTTACGGAACCACAAGCTTCAAGCCATCAAAGCGGTGGCAACCTCCAAAAATAACAAGTCAATGATGCTTGCTTGAAGTCTCTCTAATGCCACAAAGATCGACCACTTGATGCAATGCCCTAAATACTCTAAATCTCACTAAAATGCAATCCCAAGAAATGTATGTGAGTGAGAGGTGGAAGATGGCTCTAATTTGTCAAAGAAGTATTCAAGGTGCTAAGAGAGCCTACCCCATGAACAGGAGTGGAGTATATCTAGCTCCAACCTCAAAAACTAGCTATTTCTATGCTTTCTATGCATAGACTGCCATTTCATAGACAGTCCGCAATACAAACGATCTGTCATTCAACCCATAGGCTATACTTCAAATACATAAGTATTAGAGTCGACCTTTAACTTGTAATAGGGACAGGGGACAAGGGTTTGTTCAGATGTCAGCATGAGGGTCATCATGTACCGAATAAGAGTATTTGGTCACTTGTATATGAGTGATATGGGTGGATGTAAAAATAGGAAACAACCCCTAAACCCCACACCCACACACATCTTGATTTAGTGGATATGCTTGAGTTGAGCTTCTCTACTCGTACAAGCAACTGCTTGGTGTGTGGTAAATGCAGAGCAACTACAATAGACCCCTATTTAGGCTCCCTATCCTACAATTTTGATGGTTGGTAACAAAAAGCACACTCCAATAAGGCCTCTAGTAGGAGGCCCTCAAATCTTCTTCTCAAGCTTTGATTTCCAAGGCCCCCCTACTTTTTCAGTTTTGACTGTTGCTCCGTTGCCTTTGTCGCCAAATCTGTCGCCACCGTTGCCTTCCTCCTCCCTAGCGGCTCCGCCCTAGCATGCCCACCTGACCGCCCAAGCAGCTCCTCCCCAGCGTGCCCTCCTCCAACCTATGTGCCCTCCTCCTCAACTTGTCTTCCTCCCGCTCGATGTGGCCCTCCCCCTTGGCACGCCTCTTCCTATCGGCATAGCTTCACACCCACGCGACCTCATCCTCCCAGAGCACCCCCTCTTTCAGCAAGAATCACTCCCCATCTACCCACGACGCGGCCTCCACCCCTACACATCCTCCTCTGCAGTGTCCTTCCCTGGCTCCTCCACGGCCACGCACCCTCCATTGGCTCAAAGAGGAAGTAGGGCGCTTGATTTGGGGATACCGCTAGAGATGATCCCATAAAACAAGACCCTCAAAAGTAGAGTAGCCTCCAAATATAAAATAGGGCCTTTATTTAGAGGTTATTACTGAAGTTGCTCTTACACCTATAAAACTGCGCTTTTTGGTCTTACTAGATATATACCCGTGCGTTGCACGAGGCCACGACACAAAAAGAAGGTACACTAACAGTTGCCTAAGGCACATATTGTAGCAAAAATATATTAAACTTTCAATATAATTATTCTGGCGTCACCTTGATAAGAGAATGCACAATAGTTCATATTTTTTTTCTATTTGTGATACTAATGCAACACGTATAGTAGGTCTCTCTCTATAATAGTCACTCAAATCATATTTGTAGAAGTGGATGGATAATGCTCCTGCGTTGCACCGGGTTAACAATCAGGTGTAAAATAAGAGAGAATTGAGGGGGGGGTTTGCAAGGTTGTTTGTGCTACCGGTTACACTGTCTAAGCGATCAAGTTATTGAGGAGTTTTTTTTTGTTACGTTGTCAAGAAATCAGGTTAATCTATCAAATTAGGTATGAATCTAAAATGCTACCAATGTTATAGGTATGAGGACCAACAAAATGTTGATGTTATAGGTATGAGACTAACAAGAAGGTAATGGAACTAAAAAAATACTATATTCTTCTACGACTTTCTGATGTAGTTTTATTTCCTCCATCTTAGAGTAACTTGAACTGATACATGACATTTTGGACCTATGCCGCCTCAAATTACATGACTTTTAAATGACTACAATCAAATTCACATTTCAATCTAGTTAACTTTTTTATGCATATATTATAACTACCAAGTATGGATTGTAGAAGGCGCGAAATAGGTAGTGATACTTTTACCATGAGAGGAGTTTTAGGGGGCGTTCAGCTGGTACAAAATTCCAGCGGAATTCACTGTAGCTGGCTGAAAAACATTGTTCACGCTCTCATAAATTCCTCCAAATTCATCCAGATTCCTCCAAATTTCTCCAAGTGAACAGAGCCTTACTTTGTTCTTTGTTTTTCTAAATGTATTGTAAATTTCCTACTTTATTAATAAAATAGGTATAAGTTCGTGACCGTTCGATGAAATAAAATATATAACTACCAAGTGGGTATTAGAGTAGTAAGTGTATAAAATAGATGGCTGGTGTTTTGCTGAAGTAAATCATTTTTGACAAGTAAACAAAAATGAAAGGTATTTTTAAATCATAAATAATTGAAAAATAAAATATACGTTAGTTTAAACACATGAGGGGAAGTATATTTGTTCTGTCAATGCCAAATATAGATTAGTCTAAACAAATATATTGTGGCGGTCCTGGTCAGTCCGATTGGATTTTGTTCTGGCGGTAGTTCTTTGCCGTTAGAGTTTTTTTTTTCATTTTTTTCTTTCTGGCCTGGCCAAGTACTTTTCAGATTCAGTCCTGGTGTCCAGTCCGATCATAGTTTTCTTTTTATCGGAGTTTCTTTTTCTGTTCTGCCTGTAGAGGTTTGTGGATGATTCCCTGCCGATTTTGACAAGTAAACAAATTCGGATAGTGTACGTATTTGTCGGATAGTATACGTATATGGTATAGTTTTTTTAGTCTTTGTGACTGAATAGTATACGTTTTTGGTATCAACAGGTAGACGATGACTTTAGAGTTTTTTTTAGATGTAGAGAAGAAGTGCATGGTCACTCCACATTATGCATCCAACCAAACACTTTTATTGAATCATGGCATCGCAACCAGCCAACCAACGACTCTTATTTTAAGTCACTTGATCCACTCAGCGTGCTTCCGATCATGAGGAATTTCCACGTCCCAAGGGGTCTGATTGGCCCTGCGCCCCTGCCGGCCCGAAAATTGTGCCAAATTACATCATGTCCGTTTGAGTGGAGAAATCTTTTACTTTGCCGCTGTGATTCTGAAAACATTTGGAATTATGGGCTGTGAGTTGTGTCAACCATCTGACTGCCGGACCTCTGCTACGGTGCTACCGACTTTTCTGAAAGCCAAGGCCTGGTGTGCCTAGTTACCCTACATTATTACAGTATTCCAGGCTACACTGAAAATCTAAAAAAAAGTACAGGACATGACAATAAAACAAGGATAAGCAAGTAAATCATTCTGAGTTTCCAACGAATAACCGTTGCCGAGGCACCAGATATAATAGCTGAAACCATGCAGTCGTCGCCATGCCGAGCTCATGGGTACAGGCAGCTCCTGTACGCGGGCGCCCAGCAGTCCGGCAGGGTGGTGTCATCGTGGTATGCTTGCGAGGTCAGCGAAACAGGGACCAGGCAGAGCCCTCTGCCCCTCAAGTCATGCCCCGTCCCGCTTTCCTCCTCTTTCTCTTCGCCTCTGCGTCGAATGTGACCCTGAAATAAAATACCGGCAACGAGTCGTGGCCACGCACGCATTCTTGTCAATTGTTTTATTGAAAATATTATATATTTGTTGCTTTATTAGTGGTACCTTGTACGTGCTTTTCGTCATGTACGGTTCACTAAACAGCTGCACAGTGGAAGAGTGGATCAGCATGGTAGTTAGCTTTAAAAAGGCAGCAATCTGGAGTACTTGTCAGCATTACTAGACTTCAGGAAAGAAAAAGGTGGGCTAATGGCTGTGACAGTGTAATTGACCCTTTTCCCTCTAAGTCTATCGGTGTCCGGACTCTGGAAAAAGACAGCATGATTGTTACACAAGACTTGGGCATGACTTGGAAGTCCACTGATAAAAGGTCAATGTGTGGTATGCTCACTGAAACCAGGGCAAATGGCTGGTTCAGTGTATATGTATTATCTTGGATGATATATTACATAACTACACGGCCTATTCACATGCATTTCTCAGCTGCCGTTTATATATACTCCACTTGATAATTAAGGATCTTAGTGTGTTCTTCAACTTAGTAGAAAGTTATGTAAGACAAACATATTAGACATGGCATATTGTGTACATGGCGAGTTACCCGTATCTGCTCATGAAGAAATTTTATGTACTCGATCGTTTCCAACAGCACCGACGATGTATCAGTCTGGCAAAATGAAATGTTCTATGCGAGTTATATATCATCAACCAAAAGAGAAGGAACAGAAATAAACCAGATTTCATTTTGAAGCAAAAGTTGCAGCGAGAATCTCGTACCTTCCCAAAAGGTGACACGATTTGCTGCAACGCTGTGATCTTCTCTCCCAGCTTCACTTTGGGCACTTGATGCTAAGTAAGTTTGAAACAAAATCATCAGAATGCTTGCTCAAAAGTTCCGGGCTTAACGCCTTCGCTTCGCAGTTCGCTAGTTCATCCCTAATCTTCTCACGATTACGTACCTTAGGAGGCGACGCCTTGTGGGAAGCCTCCTGCTTAGATTTCTTCGTGTTTCCTCCAGCAACCCCTTCCTCTGATTTCCTCCTCGTGGTTACACTTGTCGCAGCTCCACTTCCACTGCTGCGACCGCCCATGCCCATCCCCTGAAAGAATCAAAAGCGCGGAATTCGACAGGTTTCACTTTTGTACGCATCGTAGACGACCGAGAAGCTACTTTGATTTACGTAAGAAAGTCAAAGCTTACCGGCCTAATATCTTGCTCCTCTCTGTTGCTGTTGCTGGACATGAAGTCTGCACTTGACCTGTTGTAGTCACTGAAAGAACCGGCATCCGGCAAGCTCCCCACGCCAAAGGAAGACAGTCTTTCAGACACCATGCCTGAGTAACCCAGAACACTCTGAAGCTCCACTCGGCTTGGGACCATTTGCTGCAGAAATGCAGCCGTGCTGGGAGCTCCAAAGCCCTGCCGCTGGCTGTCATCAGCTGGTTTCTCCTCGTGGTCGTAGCACGGCATGCAGCCCATGCTGCTCCCGTGCACCATGCCTGAGTAACCCAGAACACTCTGAAGCTCCACTCGGCTTGGGACCATTTGCTGCAGAAATGCAGCCGTGCTGGGAGCTCCAAAGCCCTGCCGCTGGCTGTCATCAGCTGGTTTCTCCTCGTGGTCGTGCACCACACTGTCCTCCGAGTACACGAGCGGCGATGGCAAGCTTGCCGTCTCATGCTTGACTGGAGGAGCACTACTGGCAACAGTAGAGTACGGGTCGACGCTGCCGAGGAGGAGGCCACAGGCAGAAGCTGGGCCGGCCATGCTGCTGCTGCTGGCGGCGGCGGCGGCGGCGCCCACTCCTCCGAGGTAGTCGCATGCCGCGGGAACGTCGTCCACGAACATCTCCGGCGTCACGTTCTTCGCTTCGAGCAGAGACAGGAAGTTCCCTCTGTAGCCGCTGCTCCCGTGCGCTACCACGCTTCTGAAAATCATGCAGAACGTCAGCTTGTCCATCGAACAAGAGCACCGAGCTAGCAACCATGTCGATCGTATCCGCCGACGTGTTGGATGTGTACACCGGTGTACTTACGGGGCGCTCTGGTTCCAGGCATGGTCGGGGCCGTGCTCGCTCGGCAGGCTCGGGGCGGCCGCTGCCGCCGGACCAGCACCGGCGGCGAACGTGCCGGCGTAGGCGATCCAGGAGGGGAAGGGCGTGTGCGCTTGCATCTGCCGAGGAGACTCCCACATGCCGGTGTCTGGTGAAGTGGAGGAGCTACTGCGACTGCGACCGACTGGAGCTTGGTGTGCTTCTTGGGCCATGAAATATACTACCGGGGAGCTAGCTGTGCCAGTGCCTGCTACGCTGCAGTCCTGTCTGCATAAGAGATGCCCGTGCGGCGTGCATGCGTGTGCGGCGCGCATGGAGCAGACGACACTACGGACGGAGTGGACCAGGTTGACGGATGGGGCCATTTTTGTAGGTGCGCGCCGGAGGGAGCTTTTCCTTTGTCCTCTCGAGGTGGGGCTTTCGAGGATGATATGCTGTCATCGGCATGACGTGATCATTTCGACAATACCCGTTGAGCCTCAAGTCGATATTATATTATCAACAGACAGCAGTTGAGCAGAAACTATAGCGAGTTATTTCGATTTCTAACAACACAAAATCACAGTGTCTGGCCTCCTCGACATTCATATCGAGAGAAAGCACGAAAAGAGTTTACTTAACTCTTTAGCTATTGACATTCATCTATTTCACCTCATCGCTTAAAAACCTAAATGTCTTTCTCCCTTAAAGTATTGACAACCATCTAAATAACCTCTTCGTATGGTTTTTTAGGGGGAATTTTACATATTTATCATTATTAAGATCGCCACTCATCCGTTTCTCATCCTTACGATGGCTCTTACAGATTTACCATCTTTAAAAATCGTGCGTCTTCGTTTTGCCACATTTGCTCGTCTGGCACGCCACGGCGACGTGACATGGTGGCGCATAGTCAGCAGGGCGCAGCAAAATGACATGCCTGCCCCTGGCTATTTGGAAGAAGGGAAAACGGGCCGGCCCAGTCGCTCGCTCGCCCATTTTCTCGTGCGGGCAACGCCGACGTCCGACGCGTTCTCTTCTTCCCCCGTGAACACCGTCGCCGCCTGCTTCTTCTCGGTCCCCTTCTTCTCTAGCTCGCCCGCCGCCGCCACGCCTGCTCCCCTCCGGCTGTCCCTGAGCCACGGTCGCCAGCTGCTGCTCGCGACGGATCGAAGGTACGTGGCCCCTGCAGCCCCCTTTGCACCCACATTCCACGGCATTTAGGGTTAGGGTTCACGGGTGTACGCATGGCGGGCAGCCCGTCCTGCGTCCGCAAGCGCCGCGTCCTCGTTCGCGGACTTCTGGGGCGGTCATATTCAGCCGCGTACGTGAGTGCGTCCTTTGACGCGGCGGCCGCAAGCCCGCAATCCTGTTGGTGGCCGCTGCCCGCATAGAAACGAGAAGCTACAAACGAGAAGCTAGTGATTGGTTGTGTACGTCCATGTTCATTTTTTAATTTACTTCACAAATTTTTCTAGTGATCCGTACATTAGCTAAAAAATATACGTAAATTACAGAAAATACTATGTATCATTAGGAATATATGTCTAATTTTTTTTACATTTTCCCCCCATTCATGAGCTATCAGAAAAAAATGCAAGTTAGCATCTATCAACATACATACAGATAAGAAATCATATGCTGATGGCTGCTATCACTGCCTCGCCATAAGCTTTGAACAAGTCTGAGCTGGCTGCTGCTTTTCATCCCCCCATATTTTGGTTCTGGCTCCGCCACTAATGGTTGCTCACTTTATCTCCATCCATTTTTTTGCTTCGTAGGATTCTGATGTAGTAGGTGGCATCAATCAATCGAGGTCACAATGGCAAGCAGTGATTGCCCGTCTTGGTAAGTGTTACCAACTTAAGCTGTGCAGTGGGTTGGATATTCTCTGACTCTGTATTTCGTTCATTGTGGTTGATTATGCCAGGATCGATCCTGGCTCTGCATTTAGACTAGTTGTTAAAGTCGCTAAATATGTTGCTAATTGTGAGTAAGGCCTAGTCGAGATGGCAGAACAGCAACACGACTTATGGTTTGACAGGAACAGTGAGTATACTCTGGCTTCGTTTCATGAGGATTTAGCCACTAGGATTATATGGAGGCCATCTCAAACACTTTCAGTGTGGGTTCTTGACCAAGATACTGGGTCTGAGTGGAAGATTAGGAGGGATGAGCATTTGCAGCAGATGGTTAAGGACAGATGGGATGAGAGGATGGCTTTCATTGCAGTAGATGTTGTGAGCAAAGGTGGGTGTACAGACAAAGGTAGTTCTGCAGCAAGATGTGTCTCTAGTGTCACCGATGGGTCTCATGTTGGACCAAGTCATGTGCCTGATGATGCTGAGGGGTGTGGTGATACTTGCAGATCCCCACCAGCACCCCCACTCCCTACTGAACAGCCTATAGCAGTTGATTGGAATACACTAACCATATCAGAGAATCTCGATGATGATGGCTTAGCTACACAGCTTGTTGATGAGGAACATGTATATGAGGCAATGGGATTCAAGGAAGTAGAGGCACAAGAAGCCGGCAGAAAAGAGGTTCCCATTCCAGTTATCACAGCAGAGATGCAAGCAGATATGAATGAAGTAGCTGTCAATGTTGATGACACAATTGATGCAGAGCCAATGTATGAATGGGATAGGGACAATCCAGATATGAGTGTTGGCACATGCTATCCCAGCATGGATGAGTTTAGGCTAGCTGTCAGGCAGCATGCTATAAGGAAGGAGTTTGAGCTTGATACTGAGCACTCAGACCAAGAAAGGTTCAGGGGTAAATGTGCTGCTCTAGGCTGTCCATGGTTTATTAGAGCTAGAACCCAACACGATGACAGTGTCAGGGTATAAATTCTAAATTATTTATGAACCTGTTGTTTTTTGTTTTATAACTGTTACTTTCTGCATTTTACTCCTTTGTTTGTGTTTACTGCCTTTGTTCTGATGTTTTGTTCTGTTTGCAAAATGCAGCACTAGCCTGAATGGCTCTGAATGGCTTGTGGAATGGCCACATGCCTGCAGCACTAGCATTAGATGGCCACAACTGGATGTTTCCTGTGGCCTTTGGTTTTTTTGACTCTGAGACAAAGGATAACTGGGTCTGGTTTATGGAACAACTTAGAAAATCCATAGGACCCATGGAAAAGCTTGCTATCTGCACTGATGCATGCAAGGGGTTAGAGTCAGCAGTTAAAATAGTGTTTCCACAGGCTGAGATGAGAGAATGTTTTAGGCACCTAATGGAAAACATGAAGAAGTACTACAGTGGTGATGTGTATGGGAAGAATATGTGGCCTGCAGCAAGAGCTTATTCAGCACACAAATTCAAGTTCTTTTTTGACAAGGTCTTGGCAGCTAGTCCAGATGTGCAGAAATGGCTGACAGAGCACCATCCCTTTCTGTGGGCAAGAAGTAAATTTTGTGATGACATCAAATGTGACTACATCAACAACAATTTAGCAGAATCTTGGAATGCTTGGATCAAAGAACACAAGGACTTGCCTGTGCATATGATGGCTGATGCTATTAGAGAGAAGATCATGGTTTTGTTTGCCAAAAGGAGAAAGATTTCTACAGCCCTGTCTCCTGGTATATTACAGGCTGTCATCCATCAACTTAATGCAGCATCAAGAGGTCTAGGACACTTGAACATTTCCAGTGGCCACCCTAATCAAGCTGAGGTTACAGAGGTCTACAAGGATGAAGAAGTTCGAAGACATGTTGTGTATTTATCTCAGAAAATATGCACATGTAGACAGTGGCAGATAACTGGTAAACCATGTCCACATGCCTTGGCTGTGATTACCAGCATGAGGCAACCTGACATGGGAGCATTTGTACACCACTACTACTCAGTGCAAAAGTTTCAGGCAGCATATGCAGGCATAGTTCCTAACATAACTGATAGGAATCAGTGGCCTGAGGTGGACAAGGGCTTCAAGCTGTACCCTCCAGCACAGAAAAAGAGAGAAGCAGGTAGGCTGAGGAAGAATAGGATTAAATCAGCAAGGGAGGCAGGTGGAAAAGCTACTAGGCAAGTCAAGTGCCCTAACTGCAATGAGTATGGTAATAGGGGTGGTAGCTGGAAATGTTCCCTCATTGGAACCAAGAAAAGGTGATTTCTTAACTCATGTATTTAATTTGTTTACTGGCTGTTGTAATTACTAACTTGTTTTGTTATTGTTGCAGGAAAAGAACCAAGAAGAGTAATGTTCAGGTTGGGAGGAAGAAAGCAAATAAAGGTGATGCTGGTGATGAAGCAGACACTCCAAGAACCAGAAGAGCACTAGAAAGGGAAGCTACAGCAAAAGCAAGGAGGGATGTTGAAGAAGCTGAACTCAAGGTTGCGGCAGCAAGACAAGCAGCAGAAGCAGCAGCTAGGGAAGAAATTGAGGCTACAAGAAATGAGTTATCTGCAACTCATGCACAGGAAGATGCCCTAGAAGCCTTGGCTTTAGAAGTTGATGTCCCAGAAACTACAAAAGCTAGGAGGTATGCTATTGAGTCTACAACTAGGAGTTCATGTCGCTTGCTGTACCATGACTTTTATTGTTTTGAACAGGAACCTATTCTCAGAAGACGAACTGCAAATTGAGCCTGTCAAGAAAATGACACCTAGGAAGAAGAAGTTGACAAAGAAAGTGAGGAAGAACTAAGGATGAACTGGGAACTTAAGATGAACCGGAACATTGCTTTTATTTTGCTAAGAGCTTGAACTCTTGATAATATGTGTAATTGGCCAGAACTTTTATTTTGCATGGCCTTCTATTGTAATCAAATGGGCATAACTATCAGCATGCTGTCGTGTGTAATGGGCAAAGGCCAAAAACTCTATATGTATGGCCACAATGTGCCCCTATTTGGTTGTCAGAAACAAGTACTTTATGTAGTGATCTTAATTTTTCCATAGCTGATGTGCCTATCTTATTTGGTTGTCATATGTGATACTATGTAATGTGCCTCTATTACTTTGCATGGACACAATGTGCCTCTCTTATTTTAGATGGCCACAATTTGTCTCTCTTAATTAGCATGGCCAGAATGTTCTTATTTTTTTATTGCATGGCCAGAATGTCTCTCTTAATTAGCATGGCCAGAATGTTCTTATTTTTTTTATTGCCACATGATAGTTCCAGGCCTGGGGGAAACAGAATGGG